GAGAGAGAGAGAGAAGAATCAGTCTCACTTGAAGGGCCGTTGTCCCGCTGTAATTGAAGACCTATCAAAAGATAACATTCAATTTATGATCAGGCACAGTTTTGAATTTGCGGAAGCATTTAAACTTAATCGAGGCTCAGCTCCACTTGGAAAAGAGTAATCATCCACGTACAGTAATTTGGGAAAAAAAAAATAGATTTAACAGGTTTCGGATGAAATTCACAGAGAGAGAGAGAGAGAGAGAGAGTTTGAGAGAAGTGATTATTACCCCTGAACTTCGTACCCACAAATGGTGAAGCAAAAAAGTGCAGAAAAAGAACTCACTTAAAGATTTAACAAGGAGAAAATGTACAAATGAACGGGTATGTTCACTATGCAATATGTTAGAGAGAACGAAAGACTACACCATTCAAATTATAACAAACTGAGAAATACAATAAAATGAATGGTGGACATTGAAACAAAAACCAAGAAACCCAGCCCAAACCAAACCAGTAAAAATTAGGGAAAAAGAAAAAGGCAGTTATCGAATGAAACCATGGATATTTGAATAAAGAGCTTGCCTCTGTAATCAGTTCCAACATAACCAATGCGCATAACCACTTTCTTCTTTCTAAAAGATTCCCATCTGCCATTGCAAAGCTCTTGAGACTGAATGGGATCAGACCCAATATCACAGCTCAAGGAAGAACAGCAAATAAGCCTTATAGATTGATGTTTTCTATACAGAGAGTAGCAAGGAAAAATAAGACCAAAAATCTTGTGATTGATGAAGAGAGAGGGGAGAGGAGAAGCCCCCATGGATCTTACTGAAAGGAGCTACGAGTGTAGAGAGAGAAGAAACGCCGTCGGAGAGGATTGCTTACAATGAAACGGGCAACTCGTCTAGAGAGAGAGAACCCTGCTCTTCTAGAGAGAGGGGAGAATGGACAAGCAGAAAAAATCGTTTCCAAAATGCCCCGACCTTTTTCCGCAATGGCGGTAACAAGAACGTTTCAAACCCCCGTTCCCTACAAGTGGCCATCAATGACAAATTTACCCCTCTTGGTTAAAATTGCCCTTGCGCGGCAATTACTGATCTAGTTCAGCCCACCATACCGATTCTCCAACTGGGAAAAATTCCTAAATTTTGTTTTTGGATCATGATAAATGTCAAGATTAATTGTGACCGCTTTATACGAAATGTATTATATATAATTTTTTTTATAATAATATTAGATTTTAAAAATTTAAAAATAATTCGGCATATCCAAATTATCAATTCCCTCGTAGATTTGTAAAGTTTTTTGACCTAACTAGGTGAGTCAATTATTTCATGATTATGAACCTCCTCATATTTTTTTAAAAAATCATTTGCTTTTGTTACAAAGAAGACACAATCATTCTTGTCTCCAAAATTTTAAATCGGATGGAAGTTTTAAAAAAAAGTTCATTTTCTTGCACTCCTTGGCGCATTCTAAACTACTTAATTTGATATCTCTAGCTAGAAATAGAAGTAATTGTGACGTGACAAAGACAAATCGTATCATCGTCGTATACAATCCGTGTTTTAGATTGGTGAATTTTACCAAAGATGTCTCTACCAACTGAATTTACGAAAATAACCTTATACACCAATTTACCAAAATACCCGTACCACCCAAATTGCCAAAATACCCTTCATTGGCGATCTTCTCGTTTACGCTTTGAGACTCTTGAGACCCATTTTCCCGCTCTTTTTATTGATTCATTTCCGTAAGGCAAAAATCTTAAACTTGTCCCTCCCAGAAGAGGAAATCCAGTTTCCCAAAATGGAAAGCCATGGAAATTGAGAGAACAAAGCTGAAGAGGAAGCCCCTTGTTGATTGCACCAACACACTCTCCAGAGCTTCTTCTGCAATCAAGGAGTCTTGCTCCAAACCCATTTTAGCAAACCCCAAGAAATTCGACTCTAAAACCAGTGGGAAAAATCCTAACAAGTACTGTCCCAAAACCAGTGGGAAAAACCCTAAGAATGACGACTCTAAGACCAGTGTTGGAAATCCTAGGAAACACGACTCTAAGACCAGTGGTGGAAATCCTAGGAAACACGACTCTAAGACAAGCGAAGAAAGCCCTAATAAGTATGAGACCAGCACCGGTTCAAGTGATGCAGCGAGCTGGAAGATTCAAAGTTTCGGGCATCCAACTCCTTGCCCTAGAATCTCGACTGAAACTGGTAATATGCGGCTTTTGATGATTGTTATTTTTTCCTCTTTCGCTTTTATGAATTTTATGCTTGGGCTTGGCATGGATGAAGAATTGGCTTCTGCTGATTATCAATTGGGAAAGCTCCACTGAAATTGATAGCATATTAGATTTGATGAATTGTGATTTTCCCCTTCTGTTTTTGGTGTATTTAGTTGGGTGTTGAGTAGGGTTTGGTGTTTCTGATATGTTATATTAGGAATTGAGGCGGATTGATTGGATTTTGTATTTTTGAATTACAGTTTATTCATGGCTTTTGATGCCCCTCTTCACTGTTTGAATAGAGGGTTAGTGATGTCTTCCGGGTTTTGTAATTTCTTAATGGCTATATTGAGATTTTTTATTTTCTGGTGAATTTTGGTTATATTTTCCTGCTAACTATTTGAGCTTCTTAGTATCTGGCCAATGTACAATCTACCAAGTTGGTTCACTCATCCCTGTGTGCAACTAAGTGTTTTGTATTTTCTCTTGAATTGTCCCTTTAAATTTTAAAAATTTGATAACTGACACTTAGGGTTTTAATTTCTTTTATTTTTGTACGTTAAATTACTTACTCACATTTGTGCTATTTTTGGTTTTTGTTTTTTGTTTTGTTTTTTTTATGAATATAGGTGTGCAATTGTTCTCTTAATTTTGTTTTGTAATTAGAGTTGGCATTTGTTCCTGATATGTATAGCCCTTTTAATTTCGAGTATATTTGGGAACAGGTTGCAAATTGGAGTTGTATGATCCTTTGAGTTTCTGGTGGAAGTGGATTTTTTTTATCTTTTTCTTTTTTCTTGGTTCCTTTTAATTATTGCTTAGTGCAACAATAAGGCAAACCCAAATGTCTTTGAATTTGGGTCAATTTAGTCCATATTATTTAAAGTCTCTCTAGTTCCTAGTAAGCTGGGATGCGTTTTGGTTTACTTTACAGTGAATTGTTTGATTTCTTGTATTTCTGGTAAGAATTAGCATATTGGATATTTAAATTTGTATGAGTTTGAGGATTTGGTATTAGCCAAATTGGTAATCTGTGGATTCTCTTGAACTCATGGTTTCATTTTTTTAGTTTATGCCCAATTTAGTGGCAACTGTCACAAATTGTGAATGCTTTATGAGTGTACGTTGAGTGTTTAACATGAAAATTTGAAAGTCAAACATTTTATTCTTTTGAAGTTTTGTGATTCTTCGGTTAGAAAAATTCATCATTTCATAACTCTTAAATTATATATCAGTTTAAACTCCGTAGCATGATCGACGTGCTGCGACAGAAGGCACATTTACGATATTGATGGTTGGGGATTGGTTTTGATATTTGATACATGGTTGCATTGTGCACTATGTTAATGCTTTTGAGGTATGAGCATAAGGGGTTTCTTTCTCTTTCTTCATCTTATATTGTTTTGAGGAATACAACATTTATAATTACGTGTTCTTTGCCATAATGTAGATCTGCCTGGATGTGAAAGCATAGACCAAGATGTGGTCCCAAAGTGCAAATCATTTAAAAGAAAGAATGGAGAACTATTACCTGCTAGTTGCCCTCCCATTGGGGGGATTGCACGTTTCTGGTATATTAACTATTTTTTGTTGTACTAGAGTTTTTCATTATTTGTTTGGTTGTTGTTATCACGGTCGCCGTTGTTGTTTCTGTTGCTGAAGCTAGTTTGGCGAATTTGTGGTGTTAGCAAATCAGTTAAAAGAAACAATATAGAATTATTGCCTGCTAGGTGCCCTCCCATTGGGGGGATTGGACGTTTCTGGTATGTTAATTATGTCTGGTTGTACTACAGTTTTTCTGTTCATTATTTGTGTGGTTGTTGTTATCATCGTCGTCGTCGTCGTTTATGCTGCCGAAGCTAGTTTGGCGAATTTGTGGTGTTATTTGGATAGAAAGACCTAACTCGGTAATGACCTTGGTACTTATAATGATGATATTGTGGAACAATCGTGGTGCCCAAAATACGGTGCTGCTCTACTTTGGGTCAATCTATTTCGATTCTTGTATAGGATGAAGAGATTTCTGTTATTTTTTCCAGTATGAAAATTGTTTGGACCACTCCGCAGCTGATATTGTCCATTATCAGACATATGTCTATGTGCTGAACCTTTCATTGCATCAGATGAACTTGGACCCTCCAAGGATCTTTCTTTTTTTTTGTAAGATACATGTAACATGTAAATGTAAATCAGTATGAAAATCTCTCTGAGTCCAACTGTGACTCAGCTGAGTCCTCGGCTTGGCACCCTGCTGACTCCAGAACAACCCCCCCTACTCAAGTAAGGTGTACTTTAGCTTGGCTTACCCGAGTTACTATAGTAATGGGCAAGCTGTTAGAGAGTTGGCGAGTTTCTGGTGAGCTCGGTGGTGTAGGGGGAAGGCACTGAATCCCCATTTTTTTGCTCATTTTTCTTCAACCAAGCTTCAGAGTGAGCTCAAACTTTATGTCTGGGATTTTTGTGTCCTCTATCCATCAAATAGATCAAATCAGAGAAAGTAAAATCCAATTTCTCGGATTTGGGTTTGGCCGAAGTTCAAAAGCTTGCTATTTCTTTGCAACCCTAGAACAATCTTCGTTGAAATTGTTATCTAAGCCTATTTTTAAGTTATTTAACAAATCATAGGTTTATTTCTCCAAAAAAAAAAGAAAAACGCGACCTCTAAAAATCTCCGATTTTGTGATTTTGAAAATCAGAACTCTATTTACCGAGAAGCATGAAGAGCTCATATGAACTAGCCCCAAACTAGAATCCCAAATCTGGTTTAGGGATTTTAATTTAGGGTGTTTGTGAACCCTTTGACAATGATTGGAGGCATTTATTCACACCAAGAACAAATTTTGGAGGATTGGCTTCAAAGTTTTTGTTGAACTTTCATTTTTTTCAATTTAACATCATTTAAATAAATTTATTTAGACTAATATCACTCAATCTAGTAATATCTCGGTTATTATTGTATTGTTACTGCATTCTCTCAAGAAAAATGGTTTGATTCAAATAAATTTATTTGGACTAATATCACTCAATCTAGTAATATTTTGGTTAATATAGAGTATTGTTATTGCATTCTCTCAAGAAGACCGGTATGCTTTGTTTCTTTTTGTCATTTTCAATTATATGAAGAAACTTATTACTTGTGTAAAGAGCTAATATTTTATGCATTTTCCATGTTATATACATGCTTTTATTATTTTTATGAATTGTAGACTCTTTAATCTTGTTACGCTTAATAACTGAACTCGTTGGGGAAACCTGAGCCCCTCTTTATTAACAAAACTGGCTCCACTTCCTCATGGAGGCTGATATGAACTGAAAAAGAAATAAGGCCTTCATCTTTCTTAATGAAAAAAGCTTCCCCAATCTAGTTGTATTTCTCCCTTGGCCTGGAACAATGATAGTCTGACACTTGTGACTGACTGCAAAATGGGTCGAATTCCACACCACCAAGTAATATAATTGCTCATGTGATTCCTCAATACCCTCCTGATGGAGAAGGAATTTTGTTATATCAATATTCAATAGATATCATTTTTAAGGCCCATCCTCCATGGTGTCATGACAATTTCCTTGTTGCTCTATGGCAGCTTGGCAATCATCATCATAGGGCTGAGTCACAAGATCAATCATTATTACTTGATGTTATCGCTAGCTAAAAGCCTGCGGTTTTCCTATTTTTATGAATTTTCCAATTTTTTTATGATTTTCTCAGGGCTACTCACCTGGCTCGGGAAAACTTGGCGAGTCCACGCAAGACTCGCCAAGTTTACACGCTCTGGCCCATGGTGACTCCAGGAGCCGATTCTGAATTTGCTTAATTTGATATCAATAGTCCCTTTATTTTACTTAGAAGTACAAAATTTCCATGGTTAATTTTTTCGTCTATTAATATTCCCTGTTTCTTCTTTTGTTGATGTTGTACTTGTTATGCATGATTAGGATGAAAGTGGATCTCATCTGAGTTGACTTAGACATTAAATAAAAGAGAATTATAAACTTTGAGTACAAACTTTTTTAATTGCAATTAATATGGACTATAAATACACTAAAGCTTATATGCAGTTAAATACTAGGATTATATGGTTTATATGTCCATCCAAAAAGATATGAAACAGTTCTGTATTGATAAAATTACTAGGATTATATGGTTTATATGGGCAGAAAATGTGTTGTATAGATGCAAGCAATGTCTATGTAATAAATGATTACTTCAATTCTCTAATAATTTGTTTTTCAACTATCTTCTTGGAATCTATTGCTGATCCGCGAAGTGTCAATTCACTGCCTTTTATTCTTTGAGAATCGAATAGACCATTTGTCCCAATGTGAATTTTGTTTAATGTTGTTGTATGTATGGGATGGTGTTTTTAAGAGGTGTAATGGTTATGTCACACACTATTACTACGTGCGTAATAATATTGGTTGTTGAATTTGATTTTCCTTGTCTTAAAACAGTATATTGAAAAGAAAAGAGGAATTCATTCTCTTCGAAAACAAATTTTATTTGCATTTGAACTTCTGAGTTGTGTTAAAGTTTCACCTACATCATGATTTGGTTGGTACATTTCAAGGTTTTAGATGCCAAAAGTAGGTTTGAATTTAGTTGTGATGAAATGTTGTTTGAATCATTTGAGACCCAAGTTTGATATGCATAAACCAACACTGTCTGAGAAAAGGTCGAATCATGCACTATTGTTCTTTTCCTATTTGTTCTAATGCTTTTGGCACACTTATGTTTTGACAAAGGATCCACAAGTAAGTGCATATATATCAATTGGCTAAAATTACTTAGCATAAGTTCTCGCAACTATGATTAATTAATATAGTTTAGAGTGAGAGAATTTTCCTTCTTGTGGAAGAGCCTAATCGTGATGAATCTCATTTTTTAGTTATTGATGTGAGAAGAATTTAGGGTGAGGACAGAGGGCCTGATCTGGTCTGCTAAATGGTGAAGCTGCAGGGAATGCGGTCGAGAAGGAATTAGGTTGCGCTCCTTGTCAAAGTAGGAAGCTTAAATTTGATAAACTCTCTTGGGAACTTAGGTCCCAGCTACAGTGAAAGATTAGTTTCAGAAGGTCTTCTTGGGACTGATTAGAGCTGTCGGTTTCTACAAGTTTGAGTCATACAATATCCCTGTACTCTCCCTTTGCTATTGGAAGGTATTTTCTGATTGTGATTCATTGGACCAACCAGGAGTGTGCTGTGTAATGCTGAGACATTAAGAAAGGTCCACTTCAGATTTTTACAGTTTTCATAGAATTCTGATATAGTCCATTTCTGTATTTCAACCGTCACAGAATCAAATTAGAACAAGTCATAAAAGAAGTTATTGCCCCTCATATGTTCTAATCTTTTATTCTAAGGACTCTAGTCTCATGGCCTATTTCTTCCTAAATAAGGCACAAGGGACATTTATATAAATACATTCCACCACGAAGTTTAGTTAGGCTTTCATATCCAGTTAAATCCATAATCAGTTGAGATGGCTATATGATTTAAAAGCAGTTATCCATTATACTCCACAATTATCTTTCTTATGTAACTGAATAATGAGCATTTTAAACCATGGTATCACTCAAAACTTGGCGAGTACAGGGGGTGTGTCGCTCTCCAAATCCTGAGTTGAATAACAAAGGCTCAAATATCCTGAAAGATTAAGAACATTAACAAAAGGTAAAAAATCAAAAAAAAAAAATGAAAAACCATATGCAAAAATGAAAATTGATGAAAACGTTTTTTTTTTTTCAACTTTGGATCTAATTGATCCAAAGCCTGTGTAACTTCTAGTCAAACCCCATTCCGTTACCCCAAATCTTGTTGAGCTTCTCGTTGAATCTAAGATTTGAGCTTCTTGTTGCTGAATCTAAGTTTTGGATTCTATAGAGAATGCAAAAATAGTCTTAGAGGCAAATTTTTAAGGTGAATCGAGCTAGACTAGAGAAAAACAAGCAAGAATAAGGGGCCGACCAAACCCTTTTCAGTCTTTCTAACAGTGGATCTTTTTCTTTTTTTGCTGTGAAATCCACAATATTTCATGATCACTTATTGTTCAAGGACTTGTCACTATCCTCTCCTTTTGTTATTCCACAATAGGCAGCTCTTTGAATAAGACAAATTATGGTTTGTTGAAATCATAAATTAAGATTTTTTAATCCAATTTCCATAGACATACCCACTCCACTTTTCCACAGAATAAAAATATCCTTTGGATGAGTCGTGGGATACTTTCCCACTTTGAGCCTTTGTTAGAACTTCATCTTTTTTGGCAAAAACTGCCATCAAGTTATTGTTGTTTATCTATGTCATGTTCCAAATTTATATGACTATTTATCTTAAGAGAAAGGTAAAATGCACATGTTTGTTTCGTCGCACATGACTTGGAAAATTTGGTAACTTTGAGATGAAATTATGACTTCTGCTTTCTGGGCAAGACCAGTCATTAAGTTATTTTGTGTTGCTATTTCATGGATGCTCCCAATTAATATAGCAATTAATTTTCAGTAGAAAGTCAAATGTGAATGACTACTTTTGTTTTCCTCACATGACTTGGGAAAGTATTCTCACTGTCAGCTAACAAGTCCCCAAACACTCCTTGCTATTGTCACACCTTCCTCGTGTCTTGCCATCCTGTTGTCATCCACCGAAGTCTCAATCAGAAAGGGGTTGCATGTGTAATGTAGTCTTTCTAGTGTGAATCACCATGAAATCACATATGAAGTTCATTCTTATCACACGTGGGCTGAGGAAATTATGATATCCTACATGTGGAATAGCCCTCTGCCCATTCTTTTGTATCCCATGCATGTTCACCCCTAGAAGTTTGAGCTGCTTGCTGCAGCAATTCCAGCTTGTCTCATGGTTATTTAAACCTCTTCAATTATCTTCTAACAAACAGCTTGTGATGGCGTATAGAGGCTTGGATACGTCCTTATAACTGCCTCATGTGGCTATAATCCTATAAATTCTCCAGGAAAAAGGAAAGAAAATGACAACATCCTAGAAATTTGTGTTGGCTTGTGCAACCTATTTTTTTTTTTTTTTCCAGGATTATATAAACTTTGAGGAATATGTGCTTCTTATGTATCGCATTGGCTTATTCATTAATTGTTACCATTCTATGCTTATGCTTTTCCTCTATAGTGTATGTTATTGAGGCGACACTACTTTTTTATCAGTGGTAGATTATACCATATACATAATCCTAACTCCTGCAGTATTTCCATGCATACTGTATTTAGTTGCATCTCTTTTTTTATTTTTTTTTCTTTTTTATAGTAGTTTGTTGCCTTTGTAGGAATCTTTTTCCTATCAATCACTTCGCCAATTAAATATTTATTCTAACAAATGTATTTTTATTACCTATTTAATGATCAGGAAGAAATTGGGGAAGCAGGTTTGTGAAGCAGGTCCTTCAAAAGTACAGACAGACGAGCCTGTTCAGGAAAAGAAGGTTGTTCGTATTCTGCTAGTGAAAGATCAAATCATGCTTACCAATTTTGCTTGAATTTACTGAATTCAGTCGTAAGGATTTCATTAACAAGAGTTTTTCAGTTTTCCCAGGTTTCTGCATTCTATGAAGGCAGAATACCTCTAACTTCTGTTGATCTTTTTGCGGTTGTTCCTTTTTAGTTGCAATTTCTTTCATGCAAAAGTTTGCCATAGACCAGTGGATCATTGTATATGTACTCACATCCACCATCAGTTCCCATGGATGGATTATTTGGAGATTAAATCTATCGCATTCAGGTGAGGGCCCCACCCCTCTAAATTCTCAATTATCCATCAATGGGACCAAACAGTGGATATAGCTCTGCTGTTAAGCATAATATCATAGTCCATTGGACTATTGTTTACTTTCTCATTTTAAATGGTTTAGAACTTTCCTATCTTATCACGATATTAGAAAATGAAAGTGAGAAGAAAAAGAAATGATATAGATACTGAAAATTTTATTTGTGTGAAATGCTTTCTCAGAAGAGATGGTATTCAATGCCTGAGCTGCTCTCCCGAGATTTCATAGAAGAGCAAAGAGCCAAGTTTGCTGAGATTGACGCATTTGAACTGGAAGAGGAAGTAGCATCAGAGAGTGAGTGAGAATGACAGAATTGAGGATTAAATAAAATCACCACTAGTCTTCCACACTATTTTTAGCTGAAAAAATGTTCCCCATATTACTTCCAGCACTAACCCTGAATTGTATTGGTATTGGCTGACATGTAAGGCAGCCTTCTGTTAAACTTTTTGGCGCGGCTGATGCGGTTTCCCTTTGTATTATCGTTAAACCTCAGTCTGATATCATGTACTCTCTTTGATTGGTGCTAGAAGTTTGTATTTGATACTATTGACTAAATTCTTTGAACATGTTCTCAAAGTCTCATACATTCTTGATATTGCCCTGAGAACTTGTTTTTTTGGTGCATTGTGTTTCTTTAGATCCGACTTGGCTTTAGTGCCTTGGCCTGAATTAGGCCTATTTCTTCATAAAATTATTAGTTTTAATTTTCAAAAACCTATTATTGTTACATATTCAGATGTTTAAGGATTATATGTCCTTTAAAATTTGGGTCCAAAAATCCATATCAAAAATAGACTTTTAAGAGGGGCCTCAGTTCTACAGGTGAGTCCTAGGACTCATGGAAACAATGTCCTTCAAATATTGGAGGTTTTTTGCCATATATTGGGACAATTGCTTCTTACAAAAAATAAAAATAAAAAATAAATGTAAACATTGCTTATTGCAAAATTGAGGGCGCTTTGTCCATCATTTTCTCTTCAAATATAATGAAATAAAAAGACAACGCGCAATTTAATACATTGGGACAATTTTATTGCAATAGAAAAGGGCATTTTCTTTTATAAGGTTGCAACCTTAAAATGTAGAATTAAGTTGTACCTAAAAAATCCATACTAAAAGGCTGTTTTGAAGTTGGAAAGCCCTCTATTTGATCATTTTGACATTGATATATATATATATATATATATATATATATATAAAGATTTTGAGCCCCAAAAAAAAGGCATCATGCAACATATTATCTGGACCGTTTATTTTCAAGATTTTCATGTTTTTATAGATCTACTTGATTTGAATCATTTTTTTATTTTAAAATTTTATAATTAGGTATAAAAATGAATTTGTAAGTTATCTTAATAATCTTTTATATCAAAATTCCATCTTATGATAAAGTTTGGTGGTGCACTTTATTCTTATTTGAGGAGGCTGCAACCTTATGCAAACCACACCCATATAAAAGAGGGACTTGGTATAAGGTTACAATTAATTGTAATGACCGTTAGATATGGAATCGGGTAACTAAAGGGGTATCATAGATCGGGTTCAAAAGTCTTGAAAAAATAAAAATCATATTATGAGGTCCTTAAAAAAAGTAAAATAGCCAAAAAAATAAAAAAATGGAGCTCAGATGCTAGGAGGTCATCGCCCACAGAGGACGTGAAAGAGAGGAAACCCTTTTCTCACAACTAAAGCAATTTTACGTGAAAGAGAGGAAACCCTTTTCTCACAACTAAAGCAATTTTATCTTCACCGCTCACGTTGCAACGTTATACGTCTCTTGCCGCTCCTTTTAACAATTATAAAAGGAAATACGAAAAGTACTATTTGGATGATGTGGGACCAAACAAAGGGTTTAGATGGAGCCACATTGTCCAATACAACAAACATTTTTTTTATATAAAACGGTTAGCTATTCACCATTGTCTTACAGTGTTCAATACGAGTGAGATTGACAATGAAGTCAAAGAAGGTGTACTCTAGATGGACCTTCATTATTGAGTTGAATTGTTTGATCGGTGGACTCAGATTGAGTTAGATTGTTTGATCTGTGGACTCAGATCGGTCTTAAGAGATCTAAAAAATATTAGAAATAAATAAAATAAAATAAAGATTTATAGGGTGTGAATTTAAAGAGACCTAAGATAATAAAAAACTCCTTAAATAAAAGAAAAATAGCCCTTCTCCTAAAATTAAACGGCCCTTCAAAAAATCAGTGGAGCTCAGATGCTAGAGGTCATCGCCCACAGGGGCGAGTAGGTGAGAGAACGCTTCGCTCACAAAGGAAGCAATGCTATCTTCACCGGTGTATTGAGAACAATTATAAAAGAAAATATGTTTCATGCGGGGATGGACCGTATTTCTACATATGTGGACCAAAAAGTGTAAAGCATCCATGTTAAAGATGGATGCAAGTAGGTGTTCTACTTAAAAACAATAGAAATTAACGGTCCAAATGTTTTATTACTAGAATTCTTATTTTGAATTTTTAAAATTTATTTATTCTTTCATATTCATGATCTCAATGTTAAAGATTACATGTCTATAAAAATTAAGTCCTAAAATCCATCTCAAAAATAGATTTATTAAAAGGCCTGCATTGAGGGCTTGACTGCATAGAAACCGGATCCATTGGAAAAAGCCCTATGCTAATTACTATTTTCAGGGCGGTACTGAACAAAGGGTATATATGGAGCCACATTGTCCAATACGACAAACCTTTTTTTATACAATACGATTAGCTATACAGCATTGCTAGTAATTTATATTGTTTTACAAAGGCATTTATATGGTTTACAGAGGCATTTATATGGTTATAGTGGCTCTAGGCCTTTCATATTGGAAACAAATTCAAAATCACCTTAATTACTCTCTCTCTCCTGCTGCATTGGATTTTCTTATTAGAGTATGTATATCTATATAGATATACATCATTATGAATGCATGATGAGATATGTATATGTAATGGTATATATCTCGTAGATATCTCTTGATTATGATAAGATTAGTTAGTAGTTATCCATAACTATTGGTGTTTATCTTTAATTGTTACTAGCCTTATATTTATAGAAGTCTGGCATATTTTTAATTAATCAATAAACAGAGAGTTCTTTTTTAAAGAGTTCTTCTTTAATCAATCAATAAACAGAGAGTTCTTTAATGTACAGAAATACAGTTTCTAACATTTCTTCATTACTGTATTTCTAACATTTCTTCATTACTAATCTAAGCCTGATTATATAAATTGGAACACTACTATTATTAATTTTCTTTTTTTGGGTAATTCAATGGAAAAAGACAAGCCCCTACCTATGTTTTTAAATAGATTGAGTTAGCTTTTTTTAAAAGTATCAGTGAGAAATTGGAACACTACTATTATTCTTTTCATTTTGTTTTTTTTGGGTAATTCAGCGAGGAAAGACAAGCCCGTATGCCTTTTTTTAAAGGTATCAGAGGTAAATAGATTGAGTTAGTAAGATTGGAAACCACAACGTGGTAACTAGGTATGGGCGGTGGGTTGTTAGCAAGATTGGAAACTACAACGGGGTAACTAGGTATGGGGGGTGCTACGAGCACAACTCAGCCCTTTTTTTGAAAAAGTGGGAAGTCAGTGGGTATTTGGGCCCCTACCCTTTGATGAGAATAGAGTCAAAGACCTCATCATGAGGCTAAGCACTACTACTGCCGGGCCATTCTTGAATACCTCTATTATTCTCTTGAACACCTCTATTATTCGTTATAGGTGAAGTGTTAAGTAGATCATCTTATTTTGATAAATTTCCCTTTATTCATTTTAGTGCTTTTTATCTTTTATGGTTGATTATTATTAATCTTAATCAGTTTTAGTTTGTTGAGTGAGCCCAGTAGTTCGAACTTCGAACTCCGTAACGTGTTGAACTGTAGAAAATGGTTTGACATTCGATTGCTTAACACCTTTGTTTTTTGTGTTGAATCCCATCCAGTCTTTCTTTCATTTGCTATGATTAAATAATCCTTTTTTCATTGACCCTCTGGTTTTTTCTCTCCTTAATTGACAAATGCAGGATTACTTCCAATTCATATTGTTCATGGCCTTATGGCCTATACAAATGTATGCACCAGCTTTATCAAAGCGCAACCAAAAGACTATTTTTCTTGGTGAAATGGTTCAGTCACAACTATGATTCCCATGGCTTTATATGATTGATATTTTGGCAATTAATTAGGATCTTTGGATGAGAGAGTTAGGTTTATGATTGCTGCCAACGTTCGAAAACAATCTTCTACCTCGCAGCCCTGTGTTGGATCTCCGATGCACATCAACTATTTAAAAATATTGAAAAAAAAGGAATTAAGAAAAACTAAAAGATAGGTTTATGGGAGAAGCTGGCCATTACTGATTCCTTCCCAAAGCTCATGGCCGATTTCCGTCCAGATTGGCAATTTTTTAACAGAATTGCTGGATTTCCAAACACTGAGTGGTACTTTTCAAAGCCACCATCAGAAAGTTAGGTGCCTTTAATTGGGAGAATCAGAATCGAACCCCATGCAGAGGCGTGACCCGATTCTGATTTTTAAAGCACTACTTCAGGTAATCGCAGAACACCTTTCAATTAATTAAAGAAGCAAGGTGATCAACCAATGTTTGTCATGGAAAATGATTGAGACGTTTTGCCCTCTTATCTGTCACATACAATGATAACAAATTAGCAGCTGGGCTTCTCAGTACCATGGCTCCAAGGACATTGATACCTTAACAACCTTCACAATTTAATACAAAGAATATTATCTTAGACGGTGTTAAGCATGAGTGAGATTGACATAGAAGTCAGAGAAGGTGATCAGATGGACCCCCTTGGACTGCTAAGACTCTCTCTTTGCTTTTATTTGGGTATCCTCCATGGACTTTTATCAATGGTGAGGGCAGTGTTTTAAAACCTGTCAGATTCTGAATATGAATCGGGAAGCGGACATAATCAGTTCCAGGATGGTGCCCTTCAGTTTATCGGTTTTAATGGAAAAATATGGAGCTTTTAAAAAAAAAACTGAGATTCATGTAGCCGATCTTAATTAGTTAGAAAAAGATTAAATGATGATGATGGTGATGAGATCACAACCACTCTTCGCTTCTCTAGGATGCGAAATCATACAATTTTAAATGTGCTATAACATTCGATTAATTTTATTTTTTATTTTTTGCCTAGTGTATCCCAAATCACGCTATTACACAATAATGGTGAATTTCATTGTACCAAAATTAAAAGGTCCCATTGTATGCTTTTCCTTCTGGTAATTGGTTACTGTAAAAAATTAACGTTGTTTTAAGAGGGCACAACAGCCAACATAATAGCATACTGGAAAAAATGCTTGTTGCCAAGGAAAAAAGGCATTTTAATCTTTTCATTCTCCTGAAAAAATAAGATAAGAGGATAAAAACAAGAAATTCAATTTATGGAATGATCTTGTGACCCTGCGACACTTATTAGCATAAAATCCCTAATCTAGACCCTTGGATTAAACCGAATCCCAATATGAGATAGAGGTTCGTATAAGGTGCGCATTCAAAAAACAAATAAGATATTTAATCTTTTCATTATTCTAGAAAAAAAGATAGGAAGA